CAACTGAGCCACCCAGGCGCCCCTCCATTGGATATTCTTCCCTGCTTTGTCAAAGATTAGTTGACCATAGAGTTGAGGGTCCATTTCTGGGCTCTCTATTCTGTTCCACTGATCTATGTGGCTGTTTTTGTGTCAGTACCATGCTGTCTTGATGATTACAGCTTTGTAATACAGCTTGATGTCCAGAATTGTGATGCCTCCAGCTTTGGTTTTCTTTTTCAATATTACTTTGGTTATTTGGGGCTTATAATCTTATATTCTTAAAATTCACTTTCCTTGGCAATTACCACTATTCACTTTAAAATATTTGTTTTACATTTCAATATACTGGGTTTCTATAGGATTGTATCTTTTTGACACAGACAGTTTTGATTTCTATCCCCGTGCTCAGTGGGGAGTCTACTTAAGATTCTCTACCTCTCCCTATACCCCTCTCCTTGATTGTTTGCTCTCTCTCTAAAATAAATAAATCTTTAAAAAAAGAAACAAAAAACACTCCACATGGTAGCAGTTAAAGGAGTGTTTTCTACCTTTACAAAGTACAGAGAGAAACCACATAATACAGTTGCTACTAATTCTTAAAGTCTTTAAAAGAGAAAAGGAAAAATTTAACAAGAGCAACAGTAAGACTGTGATGTAAAGGAGAAGAAATTAGTAGATGAGGCAAAAAGTAGAGAAGAGGGAATTAAAGGTGATAGGAAAAGTTTGGAGAATCAGCTTGTGACTGATGACCCCCCTCGTGTTAGAAGACAACATGAAATCCTTACCTGGGCTTAAGGTCAATTCCTAAGAGCCTCATACATACCTGTAATAATATTACTGAGCTCTTCAAATTTTCCACTTTTGCTTTTGTACTCTTCTTCTGCCACTTGAAGTTGTGGAAGACACTCGACTAGCTCCTCTTCCTTTACTTTATTACTTTGCGTTTCCTCAACAAATCTTTTCTTTAAAGAAAAAAAAAGCTAATTGTGAGCACAATTTTGGAGAATGTACACAATTTACACTCCAAAGTAGAATGTAAGTTCTTCAAGAGGGAGAGTTCTGCCTTAGTGTCCTCTTACCCTGAGATGCACAGAAAGGTATCTGCCACACACTAGGTATTTGAAAAGTATTTGTTGGCTGATTGACTCTCTGGCAATCTATAAGGTAAGGAGATTAGATTCAATGGGCTCTCCAAAGATCTATTCAGTTCTCTGGCTCTACTGCTAAGATCCCATTAATGCTACCCTAAACACCTGTTTGAGAAAATCTTAGTTGATCATATTTTATGGGGAAAAAAAAAACAGGGAGCAAAACAGAATACACACAAGTCCTAAGAAGTGTGGATGTAAGTAAGAAATGGGGAGGGGATAGAAATAATTACATATATTACTACACTAAATGGGCAGAAATTGCCCCAAACCAAACATGAAGATGCTCGCTTAATTATTCAGGCTTTATTTAGTTTCAAAGGGAATAATAGTTGGACCTCTCTTAGAAAGTCAGGATGGGTTTATAATGGTGACTACAGCAGAGACAGCCAGCTGACATTTACGAGCTCTTCTCCTGTCCTTCAATATCAGGACTTCTTGCCTCTAGTTCAGCACATGGCTGCCAGCTACAGCGATTTCTCAGCTTTCTTTGCAAGTGGGTGTGACTAACGAGTTTGTGAGCTGAAGTGATGTGTGCCACTTCTGGATCCTCCCCCTTCAACAGGAAGCAGCATGTGTCCCCTTGGTCCTTCCCTCCCTCGCCTGGCTGGAAAAGAACGAGAAGGTAAGCTGCTACTTGGATCCACCAATGTTAGCCTCATGCTGAGGATGGCGGAGCTGCCCTGCCAACCTTGGACCCCTTCCCTTCGGCCTGTAATGGGAAAGAGAAGTAAACATTTCTCTTCTGTAATGATCACATCAGGGGATCTTCTCAACTAGATACTCAGACTCTTAAGATTTGAATAGGTCATACTTGACCCATTTTATTCGTAAAAAATTTTTTTTTTACTTTTTATTTTTATCCAAGTTGCATACACACATAATCCAAAGGAACCCCCGGGTACCAGGAGGGCAATGCTTGGCATGCTTCCCCAGGGAGGTACCCTCAAACACAGCTGACCAGAGGCTAGTGTCCTTTGACCCCCACCAAAGTGATAACTCAGATGGAAGAGGAAGACACCCACATAGGTGGATGGGATAACTTCCCTGGCTTTAAAGTCTCATGCTCAAATAGGAACAACACCTTTTGGGTATACCTTCTAGGTCCCCGGAAGGGACATGCCCACTTAGAAGAGGCACCAAGCCCAGGGAAACCCAATGCTCTAGTTTCCCACCAGTTATTCTCCCCATCAAGATGCAGCATACCAATCATGGGTCATTTTATACAAACAATGTTGCCTGATAATACAATTTTAGTTGTCTAATTTTACCAGGCTCTAGGGAATGACCCAGAAAGTTAAGCCAAGGTCAATTTCCCAATAAAGGAGAGAGGGTTGCTAACCCTTAACTACACGTGTCTTGCTTTTGTTCACTGTATTTTGGCATCTCTTTGATAAAACAGATTGTCTGTGCCCTAATTAATACAGTGAAGTGCCAGCCTAATATGTCCCCTCCCAAACTGCCATTAAGTCCTTAGGAATAAATACAGAAAGACAAAAAGATACATAAAAACACCGTAATTTAACAGGGCACCTGGGTGGCTCAGTCAATTAAGTGGCCGACTCTTGGTTTCAGCTCAGGTCATGATCTTGGGGTTGTGGGACTGAGCCCCACACCAGGCTCTATACTGTGCAGAGTCTGCTTGTCCTTTTCCCTCCCCCTCTGCCCCTCCTCCTGCTCACGTGCTCTCTTTCTAAAATAAATAAAATCTTTAAACAAAACACCACCATAATTTAAACCTATTAAAATGCAGAATCGGGAGTAAATTTTTCCATGCTGCAGTGTTACGAAACTCAACTGTGTATTAGCTATACTACGTTCTCTAAGAGAATAGCTTGGGGGTCTCGGGAGGTATGTGAATGCACGAATTCATCCCCATCGCCTACACAGACTTAGCTGCTAGCAATGCCCTGACAAGAAACCACGCTCTTGTTTCATGCTTTCGGGGAGGGTTTGGGTACCAGGTGCTGCTGCATCTCAGGCACGTTAGCCTGAGTTGTCTACTGGCTCAGTCAGTCAGAACCACAGCTTCTTCAGCTCCTTCAAGCTTCCCCCAGTCCTGAGCTACATGCACACTTAGTTCAGTGATGATGGGCTCTGGCTTTTGCCACAACCCCTTGGAATTGGAGCCTTGGAAAAGAGAGAGACTGATGCAGGTCCCTGTCCCTGCTCATAGGGATGAGTTCCAGCTCATCCTGTGACTTCCTGTCCACCTTCCCTTCCCACCTGCCTGCCCTGCAGCCTTCAGCCCCCAGCTCCAGATGGGAAGCTGACAGCCTCACTAGACTGTGTAACCAGCTCCCCCCACTGCAGAAGGTCCAATCCTCTAACGGACCCCTTTCCTGGTGGCTCTGCTGCTCAGACTGAACCCTGCCAGACACGGGGCTGTAGGGCGCAGCAGATCCACTCGTGCTCACTGCGTCAGCACTGGATCAGACTAAGGTAGAAGCCCGTGGCTCCTCATGCCACGGCACCGAAGGCAGAAATGGGACTCCAATTTCCAATTTGCTCTGGGTTATTGATGAGGATTACCAAGGGGAAAGGGGGGTGTTGCTTCATAAAAGTGGCACACAAGCTGCCATCTGTCCATGCCTTTGTGTGAATTAGACACAGGTGTGAGCAAGGCTACAATTTCATTATGATCCCTGCAGCGGGCGCACAGCCTGGCAAGCAGGGAGGACGGTCTACTGATCTCGCCTAATTGCACTGTTTGAGCTCAAATGCAATGTTACCCAGCGTCCTTACCTTACTGCTGACTTGAAGGGGCTTGCCTCCATTGGTTTACCATTAAGGATGATGGTAAACCCTGTCAGCTCTATCTCAAGAAATACCTGACATGCGGACTACCTACTTTCGATCACTTCCTCAGTCACCACTCTGGTTCGAGCTACTTGAACCACTTGGAATATTGCCCTAGCTTCCTCATTGGTCTTCCTGCGTCCACCATTGCTTTCCTAAATTTTACTCAACATAGCAGCTAGAGAGATCCTACTTAAAAGAAAATCAGATTATTTCAGCCCTTCACTCCAAACCCTCTTCCGGCTTGCCAGCCCAGGCAGAGAAAAGACAAAGTCCTCCCCATGGTCTATAAGGCGGTAGACCTGGGAACGCCCCTCCCTCTTGGATAGCCCCTCAAGGGATGACTCACTGCCTTGTGGCAAGGAGTGTGGCCAGCTGCCAGCCTCCAGGGGTCGGCTCCTTCGGAGTCTCCTTGGTCATCTAGTGAAGGTCATGCTCTTCGGGGGGTGGCCCCCCCGATCGACTGAGCAAGGAGGTGGTGCAAGGGTGGGACCATTTCTGCCCCAGGCAGGGCTCTGCTAATGGACAGTCCTTGCTTAGAAGCCCCCCACAGAGAGCTTGAGGGTTCCATCATGTCCGCCACTTGTTTATCTTGTTTATTTTCAATCTCCCTCCACTGGGATGTAAGCACCATAAGGGCAGAGTTTTGCTGTCTTTGTGTGTGTGTGTTTTTCAGCATCTAGAATACTAGGCACCCAGACAGACGGCAACCGACAGAGAACCGCTTCCCGCCCTGACTCCTCTCCCTTCTGTTTCTTCTAAGTTGTCTGAATTTGTGCAGTGCTTTCTCTCCCTTCTTTGTTCCCTGAGTTGTGCCAGTTTCCAACTCACCTCTTCTTATTTCTCGCCATCCCCTTCAGACACCGCTTCCCTGAGTTCCTAGATTTCTATGTTGCTGATCTTCCTTGGCACTTCTACGGAATTCCAATTTTTTTTAAAATTTATGGAGGAGCATTTGATCACAGATGTCATGCGTTCCAGCACCATCTTTCTGAGCGGTCTTCAGTTGTTGGAAACTTCTGTTGCCCCTTTCAGTTGTTTCTCTCTTAGTGTTTTTGTGTGGAGGATATAGCTGCTCCTTTTCTGTCATTCCTATTAGAAAGCACTGGCTTTTCTTGGACCAGTTAACTGCGGACGGTTTCTGCAGGATTTGGTGAGGGTTGTGCAGGGAGGAGTGGGCTTGGCAAGATCTAAACTTTGAAACGTCAGGACTCCCTGCTTGCCCCGCTCCGGCAAGGGACTGTTGTCTTCAAAGAAAGCCCCTCTTTCATGCAGCCAGGCCTCTTCCTCTTCAAAACGAATCAAGTTCAGGAGGGCTTCTCCCACCATCCCTTTTCTCCTCATTCCAATGTACCAAGTTAGGTCTCCGAGGAACAGCCCCTTACCTTTCAAGGTAAAACCATCACCTTGAAAATGGGTGTCTTCTGTTGTGTTTCCAGAGACCGGCCACCTCTGGGCCCCCTGGGTACTCTCCGTGCCTTTTCTCTCGACCTCACCCAGCATCCATGCTCATCCCATGCGGACTGCCTGGTAGCTCCAACTCAGTGGGATGCCCTCTCTTTAATGAGGATTTCTGAGTTTGGCCTGATTGGCCTCCCTCACCCTTTGCTGCTTTCCCCAGCCAGTCCCATGCCAGCTTGCCATGGCTTCCTGCTGTCCTCCACCTGTCCCATGGACCTTGCCAGCACTTCTACCTAACGGGGAGTGTCTGATTTTCTTTTCTAACTGAAAAAAAAAAAAAAGTTTTTGTTGCTCTTTTTTAAGGAAAAAAAAAAAAAAGGAAGGATCATAATGAAATTGTAGCCTTGCTCACACTGGAAGATTTTACACTGAACTGAGTAGAATAGCATGAACTATACCCCCTCCCCCCATAGATTCATCTAAAATTATTCTTAGATGTAAAACAAAACTTACCTCATACTTGCTCAACTCTTGAATTAACTTGTTTTCTTTGACAATAAATTCCTCCTTCTCTTGTTTTAATTCCAATGTAACTTTTTCAATCTCTGCCAAAAATTCACTGATCTCTTTTTCTCGTACAGTGGTCTAATTAGAAAAGAAAACAAAACAAAACAAAACACCAAAACCTGAAGAGTAGCCGTTTGCCTTTGTAGCTGTCAGCCTTACATTTTCAAACAGCCAAGAGTGAATATCTCTTTGCATGAGACTTGGTTCCAGTGTTAGGTTATATTATTTCATAGTAACCACTGAGAGGAACACTTCATTTTCCCTGCAGAGGTTAATTTAGTCACCAAACAATATCTATAAACTGCATGAGGAAATGGGGAATGGGAGTGGTGGGGGCCGGAGGGTGGGCAGAGGGCCACTACTGGAGCTGAATTAGTGATGTTTGGTCTCTCTCTCTCTTTTTTTTTTTTTTAGAGAGAGTTTCCCCAAAAGTTAACATCAAATAAGTTTCTGGTTGCCTGTTTCCAAAGCATCTTCTAGAGAGAAGTGCTACTTTGTTTGCCAAATCCCTACAGTCAATACACAACAAATAGATACATTTCTTAAGAAAGTTAAATAATTCACTCTAAACATCACCAGAAATGAAAACATCTTTTAATAAGGTAAGGTTTAATTAGGCATTGAAGGAGAATCACTGATACGCAGTAATAATTCTAAGTCCATACTAATATGGAGTAATACTATTAATTCCCCTGAGTTCCTTTACCTCTTGTAATAATTCAGTGCGTCTGAATTCCGAAGTCTGAATTTTATCTAAAATTTCTCCTATTTCAATGTTTAGCCTCTTTATCCAACGTGCATGTTTTTTTCGCAAACAAGCTACTTTCCACTGAGTTATAATACTAGAAATTAAAACACAAAGAATCATCATTAAATTGACATAACTGTTTCCTGAAAAGATGAAGGAATTCAAAGCAAAACAAATCTTACTATGATTATACAAAACTGTGCTCTTGGTGATGCGGACCATGCACATCAGCTGAAAAAATAAGCCGAAGTGCTAACTGTGTCAACGTGGTCCGTCTTCACCAGCTGCTACATCTCACGGGCCGTGTCGGTACGTCCAGCAGGACAGTGGACAAACCACACGTGGCAGCTCCCCTCCTTTAGGTAAAGGATAGAAATGGGGAAGGTTCAGGGGCGGATGGCGGAGAGAAGAGATCCAGGCAGAAATAGTACGGAAATTCCCTAAATTACCCAGAAGGCTAATTAGAGATTTCAACCTTCTGGGTTCTCAAATTTTTCTCTCCACTGCAACATAAAAAAGCTACATTGGAGAAGGGTCAAAATGTGCAATTGGAGTCTTATACATGATATTAATAGCAATGACAACAACAATAAAATACAACTAAGCTTTTGTGAATACTTCCTAGGTGCCAGGGAGTCATCTCGATACTTGATATAGACCATCCCCTCTACCATTCATGGTGACCTCGGGGGGTGGGTGCTACCCTCATCGGCCACTTGATAGGAATTGGAGCAGAGAGACTGCTCAATAACGCAGCCTCGGTCACAGAACTAGCGGGAGACAAAGCAGCCAAAGTAGCCCGTCTCCAGAGCCTGTCTGTTTATCCGCGCTCCTCTGTCCCCTCCCCTACTGGTCCCCACAGAAGCCTGGTGAGCAAGAGGCACTGCACAAATCTTGGCAATTTCACTCTTTGGTGAGTTTACTTGATTGAAATGGAAAACTCTGGGTCTGTTCAATGCCCCAACATCAAACTAACAAACACATCTAGACCTGAGAAAACTCACACAATTCAATTTAGGAAACTAATTTCCTTGGATCCTAGCAAGCAACAAGTACCCTGATTTCCTCCCTACTTTGGGGCACTGTTCATTAAGATAAACATATACTACTCATAACACAAATGATTTTTTTTTTTTTACCATCTCTGATTTTCTCTTTCCAGGTTATCATTCAGGATTTTTATTTGTTTCCGATAAACTGCTTTTGTTGCTCTGAAAACAAGAAAACGTACATTGGGTTTTTGCACTCATGGAAGCTAGCAGAATCTATAAAAGACTTTATACAACCTTCTTGTGCACAAGAAGACTACCATCTAATCGGGAGACAAACCAAACCTAGTGAAACAACTAAAGGTAGTGGTAGACTCAGAGAAAGATAATTATGATTTCGTACAAGTGCAAACTGATTTTGCAAGTATCATGGCGGATACCCAAGGGAAAGGAAGAACAGATTCTGGGGAGGTAACTGAGGAAGGGTTATTGGAGGTTAATGTTTAACAGAGGGAAGAAGACAGATTCCCAGAATGGAGGTGGAATCCCACCATGGAAAGGGCGTCATCATTTGCAAAGACACGGAAAAGAAGAAGTGAAGACTCTTCTGACCAACAGAGACTTGCTGCAGACAGAGGACATCAAGGGAAGTAATAATGGTGACACAGGATGGGTAAAGGTCAAAAAACTGGTGAGGAACTTTGGATTCTAGACTGAGTCTTGATTTGATGCAATGTGTAATTCAGAAAGCCTATATTGATTTTTGTACCAGGGTTAAGTAGCAATTGAGGATGGAAGATTTTCTTGTGAATCTAGGATGGCTAGAAACATGAAGTCTAACACAGGTCTTAGAAGCCTTGATTATTTTTATTCCCTTTTTCCTATTAGTGCTTCATATGTAGAAAAGTAAAATGTGACTTTATGTCTTTTGGAAAATAGAAATATTTATAACTGAAACAATGTGTAATGTTGTGAAACTAGAAATATAACCATGTTCCTGCTTTTCTTCTCTGAATCATAGTGTGGGCTCTTGATTTCCCATCTCAATAAATCTATTACCCTCCCCTGGAACTGCAAGGTTCTTCACAATGTGCCCCAACCTCATTGATTTTATTTACTTATGTATTTGGTTTAATCCACCGAGGAGTTGAACTGGTTTAAAATAACGGAACAGTAATATAAAAAGTCCTAAGTGGAAACTGATATTGGGTCACACATTTAGCTCTGAGCTTCCTGGTGCTCAGAGCAATGATGGCGTAACAATTGGTTACGGAATCTGCATTATTCGTGTGGAAAATAGGACCCCTACTCAACCCAATTCTGTTTTCCTGCTCTTTCACAGGGAAGAGTTCATAGTTTCTCTTCTGAAACCAACATGAGAAATGTCTAAATATGCTGTTTAACAGCCTAAGGACAAGCAAACCACACGTCCTGCCGTGTTCTAGATTTCTGTTGGTACAGGTCAAATTCGATCACCACTATCTTAGTTCTATAAGCTAGTTCCTCCACTGCCCTATATTCAAATAATAAAATACATTCAAATTATAAAAACGAAAAATACGCAATCCCTTTTGATCCAGTAATTCAACTTTTAGGACCTTATTATAAAGAAATAGTTGTATAGGTGGACAGAGATATACATGTTAAAGTATACCTTTATGTGATGTGAACTTTGAAAAGTGCTTGTATATAGAAAACACAAAAACAAAGTCCACCAGTAGGGTACTAGTTGAATAAAACATAGCATAATCTGTAAAAGAAATATTATACAGTTAAAGAGAGGAATGAGGTCCCATATACATGAATTTTGTCTTCTTCTGAAATCATTTTAAAATCAGTTAAGTGTTTCCATATCCCTTTCACCAATTTCTCCAAATGTTACCATTTCCTGTATTTGTTTTATCATTTTCCCAGACATATTTTTTCCAGCTTCTTGAGATATAACTGAAACATAATATTGTGTAAGTTACCAGATGTAAGGGCAATCCAATTTTTGGATGTACAAACACACTCCTATATGGAAAGCATGCATAGCAAACTGCTAACAGTGAGATCTCTGGGGGGATGGAGATTAAGGTAACTTTTAGTCTTCTAAGTTACTCATTTCCATATGTGAATTTTAAAATCAGGTGCAAGCATTACTTTTTTAACCAGAAAAATTAAAGTGATTTAGAATGGCAGAAATGAACACCATAGGGGGTCGGTGTCGTGATAATGTTCAGGCACGTTCTTGTTACTAAACTGCTGATGACTGGTCCATTCTCATGTCTAGCAGCTTGTATGGAACTTCAGACCTGCCTATCCTGTCAACAACAGATTCAATGATAATAACTCTTCTAGACTCTAAAACAGAGACAGTGAATTATATGCCTCCTTTTCTATATATAGGACATCAGAGGTTATCAGCTGTATTGTTATCATATATTAAAAAATAAAAGCAGAGAAGAGGAAGATGAAAAGTTTCCAAGGCAACAAACCTACCGATGAAGATCATGGAGCGTGACAAGTCCTTCTTCCATATTTTTGATGTCTACTTTTCTTTGTGATAGGAAGTTTTCTTTCTGAGTAATAAATGCCAGTTGTTTCTGATTTCTACCAGGAAAAACACAGAGTTATCATATGTTGAAGGGTGAAATCATCATTTTTCACTCCTCACCAAGAGGATATAGAATCACAAATAAGAACGTAGAAAGTAGGCTGGAAAGTTCAGCTCATAAACTACTTACCAAACAAATTAGTAAAAATAGAAACAAAACCTTTTTGCTAGTGGTGGCTGAATCTAAACTTATGAAAATCCCCAAGCCATGGAAAGAGCATTAATTGCAATAGTAATCATAAAACCACAAGAATTCTGTAGACTCCATCCCTCCGGGTGGGGACATCTCTTGTAATGCATTTATCAATTCTACCATGTTCTTTTGTGAAAAGTGAAGGAGTCCGTCAGACCAACTTTAAATACTGGCTTTATCTCCTTCTAGCAGTGTGACCTCAAAAAGAAAATCTGCCTGTGGATGAGCCTCAGGTTCTCCATTCATAAAATAGCGCCCATAATGCCTATCTCACCAGGTATCAGGATTAAATGAGCTGTCAATTGCTCGAGCCAGTGTGTGGCGTGGCACCCACGAGGCATTTTATAAAAAGTGGTTATATTTTGCCTCCAATTTGCAGAGAGAATAATGGGAAGTGTACAGTTTTGTTCAACGTCAGTTTTTTCCAGACATTGAGAGGGACATTCCTGTAACAGAAAGTGCTCTGTTTGTAAGTGTCTCATCTTCTTCAAAATGTAAGTGTCCCATCTTCTTCAAAACTGCTATGGACTGAATTGTGTCCCCCACAAATTCGTACGTTGAGGCCCTAATACCCAGTTTGATGGTATTTGAAGATGGGGCTTTTGCAAAGTGATCAGGTCACCTGATTAGATGAGGTCATGATGGGGTGGGGGCCCTCGTACCAAGAGACACCAGAGAGCCTGTCCTCTCCCTCTCTCTACCATGTAAAAACGTAGTGAGAAGGCAGCCATGTGCAAGCCAGGAAAAAGGACTCTTAATGAGAACCTGACCATGCAGGCACCCTGATCCTGGACACCCAGCCTCTGGACCTGAGAAATCAGTTTCTGCTGTTGAAACCACCCGGTGTATGGTGTTTAGTTATGGAAGCCCCAGCTCTAGACAAAAACCAGTAACAACAGTTAAATGTTTTAGTGTTACAATTATTTCTCATCAGCACATTTTATGATTAAAACTGATAACTTAGTATTGATCTGGGGAAAAGTTTTGCCTAAAGTACTAACAACAGATTCTCAGTAGGCAACTCAATTGGGTTTGATACAATGATCGCAACAACTCTCTGCACCTCAAATACTGCACGGACCACAAACTCAGTTTCACAGAAGTGCGCCTGGACGCTGTAATTACTCTTCCCTGTGATCTAACTTCACCTGTAGTGATGGATTATTACTTAGATAATTCACGCTTGCAAGATATTATTCTGTATTCATTAAGAATCTATTGGTGAGGGCGCCTGGGTGGCTCAGTTGGTTAAGTGACTGCCTTCGGCTCAGGTCATGATCCTGGAGTCCCAGGATCAAGTCCCGCATCGGGCTCCCTGCTCAGCAGGGAGTCTGCTTCTCCCTCTGGCCCTCCCCCCTCTCATGCTCTATCTCATTCTCTCTCAAATAAATAAATAAAATCTTTAAAAAAAAAAAATCTATTGGTGAATGCCCACTATCTTCTAAGCCGTGTCCAAGGGGATATAGCAGTGAGTAAGGTGGGACAACTACCCTGATCTGGTCAGAGTTCAGCGGGACAGAGAGATCAGTACCCCCACGGATTACAATGCAGTGACTGATGAAAAGGAATGGCATCAGAAGGATGTTTCAGAAGGATCATTCTGGTGGAAGGGAGGGCAACAAGTGAAGGGGGGTAAAGCTGACAGTGGGAAGAACTTTTGAGGGACAAGCCAGAGCAAAGAAGTTGAAAGAGGTGACAAGAATGGAGTTGGAGAGGAAAATGGGATATATTTGAGAAATAGCGGGGAGGTAGAATCGACAAGCCTTGGTGTTTGAACGGAGTCCAACAGAGAGTAAAAGATAGGAATTTCCTTGAATAATTTCCCAGTCTCTGGGTTAGGGGATTGTGTCAATGACCAAAGCCTTCTCTGAGATAGGGAATAGAGGTGCAAAGCCAGTTTCTGACAAAGGTGCCTCTCACAGTTTCTCTAGACAGTCTCATGGGGTAAAAGCAGGATTATTATTTTTTTTTCAAGAATCTGATTTAGAAGTAAATGTAACACACACGGTGTTTATGGATTTGATCTGACCCGTAGGAGGAAAGCATTACCCAGTATATATAGAGGCAGATTAGGAGTGTGTTTATTTATTTTGGGGAAATAATATTTCACTGTTGTCAACAGATTTGAAAACTAGGATAAGTTGAAGTGGGGAGTCACCATTTTGTGGCCAGGGAAAGCACCCCATAAGTATGGCATGTCAATTCATATATGGATCGTGGATAGAAACATACTCATTGTAAATTTTCTGTTTCTGCATAAAAAGTTTATCCTCCTCACTTAAGACAATCTTATATTGCCTGGTAAGAGTATGCAATTTCTCCCGTAGGTCTTTGTTCTCTAAACGATTTTTGTGTAGTTTCTCAGCCATCTAGGAAAAAAAAACAAAGCAATTGAAGTAAAGAGGACTTGCTTCACATTTCCTTTGAGGGGTGTCAGTCACATGGGTATATTACCCAGAGCACTGGGTATATTACCTAGCACACAATGACTATGCCATAAATATTGAGTGATGTAATTCTATATTAACTATGCAATTATACATCTTGGGGCCTCTCCTATAAATTATGACAGAAGTGTAGAAAGGTAGTAAACACTGATGGAAAAACCACTGAGTAATAATTCATATTGAAATAAGAACTGGGATTAATAAACTGAGATCATTCAGCAGGATCTGTATGACATCAACAGAAGCTCTGGCTCAAAACCTCTTTGATGAGATACTATGGCTGCCTCTTGTTAAATATTTCTATTCAAGGACAAAAATAGTACTCATTAGTGAACTTTGTACTTAAGAACTTTGTACTTAAGATGTCTCTATTGAATTGCTTCAAGTGAGGTAAGAAAGTCAGGTTTAGTACGAGTGATGGGCTGAGTAGTTCAAAATAACTTCCTGGCTGAGGATTGCTAAAATAGCTGGATGAAAAAAAAATCTTAGAAGTGATGAAGAACTAACAAGATAATGAGGAATTCTATAAGAAACTGAGAATCCAGAGTAGTAAATCACTCTGAGGACATTTACTGATATGGAAGAAACCACTTGGAAATGGGAATTTATTTCTCTTACTTGACAAGAGGGGCAAAAATCAACACTTAGAGCTCATCCAGGTGTTGAGTCTGAGAAACCTTCTACCACTTTAGTCTGGGATCCCAAAAAGCTTCACACTCTGGAGAAGGGTAAGTTGGAAGTTAATAAGCCATGGTCCAGCCTGATTTTGATCACCAGGGAACCTCAAGGTGCATTAAAGTGGTTTGGGATGGGTAATACCCCAGCCCTCTGATGGAAATGAATGAAAGTCTGTTTCTGAGGAAGATACAATCATCCTAAGCTTCAAACTGTTTCTACATTTGTTTTTCGAATACAATGTCTATGTATAGTTTTCTACTAGGAACAGAAGGAAACAAGACAGCATGAACAAAAACTGGCAGAAACAACAGACTGCAGGAACAAATTCTATAAAAACATCTGATAGTGAATGGAATTAGACACTGGATATATAAATACTCTGCTTACTATAATCGAAGAAATATTAGAAATACTTGAAAATTACAGCAAGGAATTAGAAACAGTGAAGAATGACAAAGTAGATTTGAAAATTACCAGTTAAAAAATGCAATAGCCAAAATTAAGAGTGGAAATAAGGCCACTCTGCCCAGAATACAGCAGGGGGAGACAAAAGGTAGAAAACACAGGAGAGAGGGTAAACTACATAGAGGAAATATATATTAGTACAAATAATTGTACAAACACACACACACACAATGTACATACATATAATCAGAGTCTCAGAAGAAGAGGAAAGAGAATGAAATATGTGAACAGATAATGACTAAGAATTTTGCAGAACTTATAAAATGCAGCAATTCATGAATTTAAGAAGCCCAGTGAATCCCACACAGGAGAAATAAAAAAGAAAACATGGACATATCATAGTGAAACCGAACAACTAAGTCAAAGGGAACAAAGAAGACCTAAGGTAAATGAGGTACACCATGTTCATGGATTGGAAGCTTCCATATTGTAAGAATGTAACATTCTCCCCAAACTGATCTATAGATATAATGCAACCCCAATCAAAATGCAAACAGGTTCTTTGGCAGAATTTGACACACTGATAGAAATTCAAAGGGCCAAGAATAGTAGAAGCCATCTTGAAAAACAAAGTTGGATTTATACTACTAATTATAAAGGCTTATGTTAAAGCTGCTAATTAAGAAAATCTGGTTTTAATGTGAGGAGAGACAAGTCCAAAGGAACATAAGAGAGTCCACAGATCTACACACATATTTATGATGTATTTATGATCTACATTTGATTTATGACAAACATGCCATTACAATATAGGAACAGGCAAAGACTGTCTTTTCATTAAATGGTGCTAATTAACTGGACAACCTTACTGAAAAATATGAATCTTGACCACCCTCTCACAGTGTACACACACACACACACACAGATCCCAGATCGCTTACAGTCCTAAATGTGAAATGTCAAACAATAAAGCTCCTAGAAGATCATGAAAAGAGAATATCTTCATGACATAGGACATAAAAAACAAGAAGGAAAAGATTGACAAACTGGACTTCATTATAATTAATAAATTACATCCATCAAAAGATAGATATGTACATAAAGACTGTACATTTACAGTGTATGTGCTGTTCTGTATCTGTATAATATTCTACAATAAAAAATTAAAATAAAGTTAAAATAGAATTTCATGTCATCATTGAACTTGCCTCTTACACCTCATGAGAATTAAGATTGGCTGCCACCAAGAGTCCAGTGGAAGTAATAAATAGGTCAGAGCCCCAATCCCTTTGAAGCAGTCACTGACTTGTACTCAGGGAATTTGGCTGAGGGCTATGTATTACGGGGAAACCCCTCTGCATTTGTCCCTACAAGCAAGTAAGCCATGACAGGGTAGGGGTCCTGGGTTTTCCAGACAGTTGGGGGGCTACAAACTATGGAGCTGTCATCTGAACCCTGCCTAGCAGCTCCTCCAATAGGAAATAAATAGAAAGAAAAAGAAATCCTTTGCCCAGAGAATGAAAATCAACTTTAAAAACCAACTAGCCAACCAACCAACCTTGTCTAGTTTCTGTCTTTCAATATCTTCACAACTAAAAGAATTAGAGTAGGTCTAAACTGCAGAGAAGCCATCCTTAATGCTATTAACTCATAACCAAAAATGGAAAGAATTTAATTGGCTCAAATCATTCTTCTGGAAGAGATCTGCCTATAATGTTTTATATTCTATTTGTCATGCAATAATATATTATGAGCTGTTGCTTATTTAGCCAAGACCCTTTTGTTGGACTTCAATTGTATCTTCCCTACAATTGTTCAACTATCATAATGAATGCTTTACTGAATACCTTGTGGATAAATTTTAGTTTACACCCATGATTATGTATTTATGATATTTCTTTTAACCTAAGATTTAAAGTGTCTAGAGATTTCTCTCAGGGTCTAAATCTGACTCAAATATTTCATGACATTATTAAGTGTGGTATGGGTTGCTAGACTTTACAGGTACCACAAAACAGCAAGGAGGTTCCATTTAAAAAAAAAAAATTCACATGAAAAATATCCATTAGTCTGGGTATTTCTAATGTAAAATAATCACAAACACATGACAAGTTACCAAACAAATAATTCATCTTTACACAGACAACATTCGTTCTTTCATATATTTAAAATACTTTGGGAGGTGATCAAAATCTTTAAATCAATTATTGTGAATGATCATGATTATTATTAATTCATGAAAAATCTACTTTGGGAAAATTTCACATTTCTCAAATATATTTAAAATATTAACTAAAAATGAATTATAATCTAAAAGTCATAATTTCCATCTTCCTACCTGCTTTATCTTCTGCAAGAATTCATCTTTTTCAATACCAGATGAATCTTCCAGTTTTTCTTTTGTATTTACAAAAAATTGTCTATGATCAAAGGAAGCCAAACAGATTCATATTAGGGCATGTTTTCCAGCAAAGCCACATTTATTTATGACACCAGAAACTTCCAGTCCCCATCTTCCTATGTAACATATTGATATGTTCATTAAAATAAATAAAAAATTTTACTCTTTGGATGAATTAATACTTCCTGTATATATTCATTAAGAAACAATTATCCAACATTTGTACTCTGCAGGTGTTATAGGTACTAGAGATATAGTGCAAAGTCCCTACCCTCATGGAAGTTACACTCTAAGAAGTAGTCAGAATAGAAGTTATCAAAATAATAATAATAATAAAAAATTTCAGGTAGTGCTAAGTGCTTTAAAGAACACAAAGTAGGGTGAAGGACAGAGAAATCGTGAGAGTGATGATGCTACCTCAGACAGGTGGTAAGGGAAGGCCTCTTGAGATGACTTGTGAAGAACCTGAATGATGAGAAGAGGCCAGATAGGTGAAGATCTGAAGAAGTCTTTCATGTACAAGGTACAGCCAGTGATAAAAATTCTGGGGCCGGAACAAGTTTTGTGTATTTGATGAGGAGAGGATTATGAGAAGGCTGGAGAGGTAGACGGAGACTAGATCATGTAGGGGCTAAGGACAAAGTGGAAGTTCAGAGAGAACCAGGGGAGGATTTTTTTTTTAAGCAGAGGAGAGAGATGAACTGAGTTACATCTTATAAAGATGACTCTTGCTACTTAGTGGAGAAAGACAAGAGTACAGAAGACAGACTATGCAGAAGACTAGGGCAGTGGTCCAGAAGAGAGAATCGTGGCTCAGACTAACGTTGTAGTGGAGGAGGTAGTAAGAAATAGTTGGATTCAGGATATATTCTGAAGATAAAGGCAACAAGACACACCTTGGGATTTGGCTGGCATTTGAGTTGAGTTAGGGCTAGTTAGTTGGTTAGTTGGGTTAGGGTTAGGAAGTGAGGAAAACAGGAATGGTAGATGACTCCTAGGTTTTCAGCTGGAGTAACTAGGTAAATAGTGAGATGGAAGACTGAGGGAAGAGCTGTTTCAATGAGGTGGGAAATTAAGAGTTCTGTTCAGGACACATCGTATTTGAGATATCTAACAGATATCCTCCAAATGGAGAGGTCAAATAAACTGTAGAGTCTATGTATTTGCTACTCAGTGCTGGATATATAAATTTGGGAGTCACTGGGGTACAGAAAATATAGAAAGCCATAAGAATGGATGAAGTCATGTATGGAGGATGTGAATAGAGAAGGGCCAAGAACTCCAAAATTCAGACTCAGAAAGAAGAATAAGAACAAATAAAGGGTCCTGAGAAAGAGCAGTGTAGTGAGTGATATAAAGGAATATGATGTTTAGGAGGCCATGAGAAGAAAGTATTTCAAGAAGGTGGAAGTGTGGGGCACCTGGGTGGCTCAGTCGGTTAAGCGTCTGCCTTTGGCTCAGGTTGTGATCTCAGGGTCCTGGGATGGAGCCCCACATCGGGCTTTCTGCTCAGTGGAGAGTCTGCTTCTCCCTCTCCCTCTGTACTCTCTCTTTCACTCTCAAGTAAATAAATAAAATCTTAAAAAGAGAAGGTGGAAGTGAGTCAAATTCCATTAGGAATTCAAGAAATTGAAGGAATAGACTAGATCATTAAAGTTTGGCAGGATGGAATCATTGGCAATCACGACAGTTCTGAAATCATTTCAACCCTTATAAAAAAAAGGCATCTATATTTTTCATAGTCTCCTGCACTGCAATGGCAAGTATATACTCTGGGTCACAGACTGCATGTCATTTATATACAATACTTAGCTTCCAGTCCCCCACTTCGTATGTGCTGAAAACCAGCTGACTGGCAAAGAAAGACCATACCCATTTAGAAAGGTAGGCACTGAATTTGCCTTTATTATGCAAACACATCATGTTGGACATCAATAATAATAATGAACGAGGTTTAGACTATCAATGCCTCCTATGGACTTATGGAGCATTTGAGGTACTCCTAACTGCCCACATTCAGATGGCTGAGTGACTTTTTGTTTTTCCTTAATATTTGGACCTCAAAATATGTAACAAGCTTGCAAATTAAAGATTTCATGGGGGGAAAAATTAAAGCTTATAGATTAATAGGAAGATGAATTTATGCAAATTATTTTAGTTTCTTGTATAATTTATTCTTAAAAGAATCTTATAGACTATTATAAAACAACACTGTTTGACTCTTCAAATCTACCAACCAAAATTTAGGTGCCTTTTCCCACCTCCATAGATAGAGAAATGAACTAAAGGAGAAATATAAAATGAATGTAAGAATTTTCTTTTAATTTGCTTGGTAGTAAAGAGGAAAAAGTACAGTTTTATTACTAACAAGGGGGGTAACCTAAAACTTCAATCACCAAATTAATCAAGTGTACTTCTCCTCAGGGAGATTCCATATGAATGAAAACTCTTGAAAAGCTGGGATTGAAAAAAAAATGATGTGCCATTAAAAATAGATCAGTGAGGGGTGGCTGGGTGGCTCAGTCAGTTGAGTGTCTGCCTTTGGCTCGGGTCATGATCAGGTCATGAGTCCTGGGATCAAGCCCCATGTCGGGCTCCCTGCTGAGCGGGGAGTCTGCTTCTCCCTCTCCTTCTGCCGCTCCCCCTGCCTGTGCCCCCTCCCTCCCTCCCTCTCTCTCAAATAAATGAAATCTTAAAAAAAATAGATCAATGAATCCCTATTTCTTTCTTGAATATATTTAAAGCAAATTAGCTAACAAGAAGACTGCTTATAAATAAAATTTCAAGCAAGGTTTTTAATCATAACTCCTAGAAATAAGTTAAGAGCTAATCTGTATCTTCCTCCATGATTATTTGCTAGTTTTTCTTTAAAATATGTATGAACTAAAACTAGTGAATCACTTTCAAAGAAAGATATTTTTTTTATTCTGAGTTTTGATTGTAGTATTACTTGAGCTTTTATACTTATAAATCTGGTACTGAGTATAAAGATTATTGTTTATTTTATGGCCAGATGTAGGTAGAACAGCACCGTATTGTGCAATTGCTGTTTTAGAAGATATAATTTTAATTACAATACATTTGATCCTATGCAGGAATAAGCCATGTTATAATAAGATTCCACATGTGAAGTTACTTGCCTTTTGGGGAATCTACTCAAGTCCAAAATTTGTCTTTTAAACTGTCAGCAAAACCTGGGGATAGGCCTGGAAGCCATATTTTGTACTATAAGACCCCACCTTCCTTGTCAGAGCTGGGCCAAACACCTTCTGATGAGAAATCTGGGAATTCTCCTGGGAGAAGTCTGTGGGTCAATCTCCAAAGATAGATGGACCTGCAACAGGTAAACTCAGAGGGTTTGGAATGGCCACGCTCAGCCATGGGTTTACCAACAACAGAACACTGTATGTAGGTAAAGACAGAATGAAACATGGACCTGAAAAGGAAGCAGAGACTGTTTGCCTTGGGGTGGACAGATTTCCTCAAGTTTATGGTTCCAGTCCCATGGGTAAAATTTTTGCCCTGAAACTTCCTTGTATTTTCTAAGTTCTGTAGGTTGACTAAGAACAACTGTCATAGCAAGGGTAGGTGAGCCTTATAGGAGGTCCCACTAATGCCTTCCCCTGGGGGCATATTTGTCTGTAGGGAATCAGGAACTGAAGTGAGAATAATTCATTCCAGAGAGTCCCTCCCTTTCCCTTAAATGACTATATCATCCTCAATTTTTTTCTCTTGTTTATCTGAAAAACTGGTTAATTTCCAAATGAAGAGGTGGTTTTATAAAGCTATCACAAATTTTAGCAAATTAAGAGAATATAGTTTTCATCTAATATTAAAGATTTTTTTTTAAAAAAAGAAAGAGACAGAACATCTAGAAATGCTTCAGTAAAAATAAATATCAAACTTACAATTTATCCTCCAGTATCTTACAGGATTTCTTCATTTCTTCGAGCTCTTGTTCCCAATGTCTTATTGATTCTTGTAGTCGTGATATCTCTAAATTGTGATCACTAAGAACCTATTGAAAATTCAATAAAATGATGGTATTCAATTGTCACCAAATGATTCATGACAGTGTTTGATTCACTAAATATTCATGTATTATCCACTCAACTTTTACATTGGGGTTATCCTTTAGCAAAAATAAAAAGCAATCATTAAAACGGTTTCTTCATAAAACAAACCTGGGCAGAAATAATCCTGAAATCATCAGGAAAAAAACCAACATTTTGGAGAGAGCCCAACCAAATATAGCAGCGAGAATGCGAAAACTGTAAAAACAACTTTCAAGATATGAATTCATTTTGACTACCTTTAAAAAAAAAATCCAAACAAATCTATATCTTCATAATCATCTTCAAAATACTCTAGGATATTAGAATGAGTATTACCAAAAAAGTAAAAACAAATTACCTTGAGAAATATGCTTCTATTGAAGAGAATTTTTCTTATTTAATCAGTATTTCAGAAATGCAATAGTTGGGTACTGTGATAAAATGTCAGCATGATTTAAAAGAATGAAGTATGATTGGAGAAAATTCATAATAAAACATATTTTTTTTTCAAAGATTTTATTTATTTATTTGAGAGGGAGAGAATGAGAGACAGAGAGCACGAGAGGGAAGAGGGTCAGAGGGAGAAGCAGACTCCCTGCCGAGCAGGGAGCCCGATGCGGGACTCGATCCCGGGACTCCAGGATCATGACCTGAGCCGAAGGCAGTC